TCCACGGGAATTTAAGAATCTCTTTCCAACGATACGATCCAACAAATCGAATAACGCAATTCGCAATACTTATTAAACTTCCTACAGGATGGTTTGTTAAGAAGGGCGCGTCAATCTCCATGAAACTGTTGGAGTCACACCATCACAATCGAATCGGTAGGATAAAGAAAATGATAGTATTTATTCCCTCCTAGACTCCGGTTGTCATACCACTCCAATCGTCCAGTTCCAGGTCAAATGATACCCTGATGCTCCCTCCCAACCCAGTATTTATTTATATATATAGTAAACATATGTAATGGAGAAATGAAATATATCAGAACATTAAAATACGTAATAATGAAAATACATTTATATGGATAAAAAAAAAACTGGTATTCCGCAATGAAAATAATAATTATTTTACATACAATATGATGCAGCTCTATGTCTCCTCAGCTCCCAATAAGGAAGATGTAACCCTGAAATTTCCAGGTTATATTATGTAAATAAATATTTTTAGCTAGAATGATACTTGATATGTTTATCATTGATAACCATTTGAAATCCTTATTATTTAAAAGTACAATAAAAGCCATTTAGCACCAATACTGGTGCCATTTGCCTTTGAAGCTTGCTAAGCGCACTAAAAATAAAGCATCAGTCAAGATAAAAAGAAATACATAAATATCGTCCGTTCTTGCCAAATTCATTGTTGTTCAAAAATGAATGTGTCAAAAATCCTCATAAATTTCCTCATCATTAAAGTTAAAGATTTACTAAAATTATAGAAAGTCATATTGTGGTCTATTTTTAGGTGACAGATTAAATCTTATGTGAAATGTGCTTCGGAAAATTTTATGATTTTCGTTATATCTATTACAGCTTATTGATGAATTGATGAGAATAACGTTATTTTAAAGGAAAAGTAAAAAAGCAAATGGAATAATAACAATATGGCGATAGCATAAATATTAATTTTCCACGAGACATTTGTAAAAAAGCTGTTTTGCTTTCATGAAATCGCAAAACATTTTAAGGCGGCATTTATGAAGATAATTTGCAGACTGAATTGTTTTTATCTGAAGCCATTTTGCTTGATCCTATTCCATTTAGTTTTATGGTGACAAAGTGGCCTGCAAAAAGTTAAACGTCAAAATTTATTTATCTTCGACAGTTTTGTTTGTTGTGCGATCATTGCAACGATGTTCTACCATAGAGGTAACTCTAAGACTAGAAGGTCCCGCAGAAACGTGCTCAACTTTTTGGCACAGCTCTGGTACTCTCTTCGGTCCCAAGCTAATCGATTCACCCCTCGAAACATAGGAAAAACCAATAACCCCTCATTTTATCTGTCAAACTTTCATAGCGAATCAAAACAAACATTGCGTAGTACTAGAATTTCGACTAGAATAGGGTACGTTAATCGTTTGCTTGGGACCAATAGGCTACTAAAGTGGTGAGCCAATTTAAAATCGTTAGTTTCGTATTGATTGTTGGTTCTACTCCAGCGTTGGATCAACAAGTTGCGCGACATCCTTGATAAGGGCAATTCTTTTTTTGGAAGCAGTTACTCAGGAAGTGAGTCTACGTAACTTGGAACAGGTGGAAGCTCAATCGTTTCCGAAAAGTTTTCCTGTCAGCAGTTTTCCGCAGTCCCAGTTTGGCACTGATTCTACTCGGATCATCATTGCACCGTTATTACTGGAGAAGGCTGCCATTTACGATACGCTGTGTATTCCCATCAATGTTAAGCGTCTAATTTGACGGCTTCCAGTGCTTCGTAAACCGCATTCACTTCACTCCTCTCAGTCGGCTGCTCTGTTGTTGTTGACCGATTTTGCCCTCCCAGAATGTTCTGGAATTGGATTCCTTTTCTCTTCCGTCGACAGCATTGCTAGAATTATTACTCGATTATCCTTTGGCATTTCCTTGTGACTCTACGTTTGAATACCCCACCCGATTATGTTTTTCTCTGTCTCTAGGCGGATCCATCTTTTTAGTTTTATTTGTAAACAATCGGAGGTTTTGTGATACACTTCATTGACACCAAAACGCATCAATATACGCTTTTTGATCCCGTTTGAAACCGGATGGTTTCATAAATGCTTTTATAATGATAAAAAAAACCTTTATGGAGAATTGTTTTCGTGACATCAATAAAACAAATATAAATTGATTTACTGAACAGTTTTATAAAGGGATAGAGTGCGGCATTAAATTCGTTTTTAAAACCAGACTCTTCATGATTTTCTCGTCAGACTTTAAATGGTTTTTAAAACAGCATAAAGCTGAACTACTAATCATGATTTTTTTTTTTTGCACTGTTAAATGCTGTAATTAAACTAAAAATATTGCTTATTGCCGTTATAAAACCACAATAATTCAGAGTGAAACCCAAACGGCAGTTAAATTGTTACTTGGGAGCTCTCTCATATTGGCGTTCCTGACTCAATGTCGGGGCGGATAATTTGCTTGTGGACGAAAATCTTGTTTTTAATGGAAAGGATGGACTTTCTGTTGATAAGTGGATATAGCGACCTAATCAAGATGTTGCACTTGGTGGATAATTTGTCCACATGGGAACGGAACAGCAACTTGCTATCAAGGGTGAGACCAAGGTAGATGACTTCATTAGAACATTCAATGGAAGTATTACCAAGGCTAACTTTTAAGTTACCCGGAGGGACAAGCCGAGGGGAATTGGAATGCGGAATAGTATGGTCTGTGTTAGCCGGACAGAACATCCAGACCTGATTGGAGTTTTCTCGTCAAAGCACTCGACCCTTATAGATGATGACCGTGTCATAAGCAAACATTGACAAAATACCACCATGCGGAAGGGAAGTAACATCTGACGTGAAGATGTTGAAGAGGATAGGACCAAGGAGGCTTCAGAATCAGAAAGTGAATTGTTTAAGAAGACCTGGAATGATCTGCCCGACAAGTAGTTTTTGATGACCTTGACAAGGAAGATCGGGAGGTTTTATCGATGCAGCTTGAACACTAGGCCATCATGCCAGACATTGTCGAACGCCTTCTCGACGTCAAACAATGCCATGGCAGATGTTTTGGAAACGGACTTGTTTCGCTTGATGATGTTAGTAGCCCGTGCGAGTTCGTAGATGGTAGAGTGGCCTTTCCTAAACCCGAACTGCTGTTTGAGAAAGATTTTAAAATCATTTGAAAATACCAGCAGACGGCTTAGAATCAACTTTTCGAATAGCTTCGAGATGGAGGACAAGAGGCTGATGGGGCAATAGCTTTTGGCACTGGAAGGGTTTTTGCCAGGTTTGTGGATTGGAATGGCTTTGGCTTACTTCCAGCATGCAGGGAAGTAGCCATGCACCAACACTTATTGAAGACCGCTGCAAGGTGCTCGAAAAAGCCAACACTCAAGTTTTTCAATTCAAGTTTGACCCCTCCATCGACACCAGCGGCCTTCATGTTCTTGGTTGATTTAATCGCTGGAAATATAAGCGGATGCTGTTTTATAACTTTTCAGGTTCAAGCAGAACGATGCACTACCAAATGGTACTCGATTATGACGCTGGGTTAGGAAAATCTTTCTTTTTTTTTCATGAAAACAGTAAAACAATTATTACTTATAATTTGTGAATTTTTTGAAAGTTTTTTTTTAATGAAAAATAAAAAAAAGTTTTTCTTAAAGCAGATTCGTAGAGTAATTTCCTATCGATTGGTGTATTTGTATTTTAATTTTATTTATTAATCACAAAGTTATTATCGTTCAAAACTTAACACCTATTCGTAGTGATCGCAGTTTTAATTTTTTTTATTTGCCCTCTGTACTGTGCTACGCAAAAAAAAAGAAAAATAATAATATTATGCTATTTTATCCAGGGTTTGATTTTTAAAGGTAGAAATATGGGCAGGAACCAACAATTATTAATGAAATAAATATTTTAAACAGGTTCTTGCTGACAATTTCAAAATGTCCTGATTTTGAACCTTCATCAGATGGTATCTCTAACAAACCTTCAATTACAAAACCATTGTTGATCATTTAGGGATCACATGAAGACACTCGTCTGATCTGAATGTTTTATGATTTTTCGTAGGAATCTTATTATCCAACAATTGATGGATAAATTAAGATTTTTTTACGTTGTAATTGCAATTCTATAAATCCCAAAATATCATCCTAATCGAACTTATGAATCCCAACAATCGAATTTCATGTAACGTTGTGGTTGTGCGGTTTATGTTTTTTGTCTTTCCTTTCCTATTGGAACTTAAGGCGAAAGTGACCTAGTGAGTAAATACCTAAAATTTCCAAAAGTGGTTTTCTCTGAGACATCACTTCAGACTGGAAAACGTTCTCATCGTTTTGTGCGAAATAATAACAAGAACGCATCGACACGAGAGGTTTTTGCAATCTGAAGTGAAATCTCAGAGAAAACCATTATTCACTCACTAAGTCACTTTCACCTTAATCGACATGAATCTGAGACAATATGCGGAACTGATTTGCAGCCCCACAACGCATTGCTGTGTGACATAGAATCGGTGTACTAGTGTTATGTTATGAAAAATTGCATCTGGCTTCGAACCGTATTAATATTATACAAAAGTATATGCACAGACAACCAGACAAAACACAATTAATATTTCTCATTGTAAAACGTCATCGCTAAAACACTACCACCTGTTCTGTTGAGTACATTGTGATGGGTACGCGCAGCGGATGGCGGTATTGTGTAAACGTCAAACGCAAGGGAATTGACTATGCGTGCCACAGTTTGTTATACTGTCAACTAAGAAACATTTAAATTGACCATTAAATGCATGTGCGATGCACAACTTGTGAGAGTTATGTCTGTTTGTCTGTGGTATATGCGTCCATGTAAATTTATTTATGGCCAACATTTTCATGACAGCATATGGGTTTCTTTGACTTCAAAACACACACAAACGATAAAATGCCCCTCAATTACTGTTCACCATCGAATAATAAATGTTACCTCTAATTTTCGTCTTCAACTGTTCTGCTTATTTCTCAGGTTGAGCAAATTCAGGCCGAGTACAAGGTGCTTGCTCTGCAGTACCACCCAGACAAGAATGCTGGAGACAAAGATGCCGAAGCCATGTTCCAGAAGTTAAAGGTATGTACGTATGACCAAGGTAACTAGATACATTGCACCAACTATCCATGATGTGAAAGGAGATCGTGTGCATGTTTCATTTGCGCACAGCCAATTTACTGGAATTGAGCGGATATTATCGAAATTTCCCTCGAGGCAACACGTCCAAAGTTGTGCTCGTTCTTCCGGCAAAACGTTAAAACGAGACAGTTTATGACAACTGCTTTGCTGCTTGCTTCGTCGAGTGTCGTCATACACTTTCTCATATATATTGCGCAAACGCTGAAGATAATGATTTCGCTAAGAGCTACTTAGAATAGAAGAGTCGTTTAGATTGCTCTGAAATGTTCCTCCGGTCAAATTATATAGCGAGTATCAAAATCACTATCTACCAAACCAATCTTCTCATCTAATTCCGTCCCAATCAATTTTTTCCACTCTACCAATTCTGCTACACCTATGTTATTTGTGGATAATTTTCTGACTGGATTCCTAGCGGTTACGCAGGACTAAATTCCACGGGTTGGAATTTATTCACAGTTTCCATCTCAGTGAAGCAATATATCGAATTCATCAACATGTTCGGCTGCTAGATCTTTCCCGGGTAACTGACTCTGACGCTAAAGCATAATTCAGGGATTTTCTATCCCTCTTCTGGATGCATACACACGAATGGAAACCGGAAACGTCTTTAAGAAAGCGACACGGAAAAAAAGCAATTCCAACCACATGAGGATTAGCCACTAGTAGCACATTTATGTTTGTATAGACAGACATGGAATGTGTTTTGGCTTCAACCGTAACAGGTTAACGGGAAAATAAGGCAATAGCAGAAGTATTTTACTGGGAGCTGCCCGGGTGTGTAGGAATGTGGAGCGGTTAAATAAATAGATGACAAGAAGTAGACATTTCGGGTGGTTCCTTTTCAAGACAAGTTAAATTTCAGAACATTAAATGAAATGGACTTCAGCATTTCCTGGCTGACCAGCGCAAACATATTTTGGACTCGACCCAGTCTGAATTTCATGAAACTTTGGATAACAATGTTCGCTATGGGCAATAGATTGGTTCACAATATCGATTTCGCTCAACCGATTCTCAATTAGGTACGATAATTCTCCCAATATTTTACCTCATTTGATTGTGATCTGCACTGGTCCTTTGAAATTCATATGGGAATTACTATGTAAAAAGCGAACTTGTTGTTCTTATCATCCTAGCCTTTCGCCATAATGATTAACGGGTAGGTATGCTATCTGTTCTAATGTGGAATTATCTCAGCTTATATATTTCTAAATAAACTCCAGTCCATCGCGTGATGAAGCTTCGTGTCGATAATTATGATTCTCATGTGACACAAAGTCAACACAGCCCAGATAGTCCTCGTGGTTAGTTGTGACACAACTCCTAATTCGTTCAGCAGCCTACGCCGTACAGCCTCGGACGCGGTAGCCGAAAGCGCCACATAGGATAGGACAGTCCAAATCGCACCCGTGCCTGGGGCAAAATGGTCCCACGCGAGAAACCGCAAAGCATTCCAATTATCAATTCTTAAATTTAACGATCAGCATTGATAGTTCAGTACTAGAAATTGTTTTTCAGCACATAAAATCCTGTAATTAATAAAAGGAAAGCAACAAAAACCGTGAGAGGTCTTTTTACCCAAGGTTAATCTATCATGCTTTATGTCAAAGATGGATTCCATCACGTGTAACATTAGGTATTTCTAAGTGTGAACGTAGCCCTCTAGTTAAAGTACACAGCAAAAAAAAAATTTGATATCACATCAAAGTGGATGCACTACAATCATGTCGAAAATTTCATGTAATTTTTATGACCACATAAATAAACAAATGCAGTAAAAGCAGCGTAATGTCAGTTCATGCATTGTATAAATGATAATTTTGTCCTTTTTAGCAAGTAATATTACACCATATTTTCGACATGATTGTAGTGCATCCACTTTGACGTGATATCAAAATAATTTTTTTGCTGTGTATGAACGACTGTCACCACAAAACTGAAAAAAGCTGTTCCAATCGAGCAAAGCAGTACATTTTGACGGTTCGGTTGGAACAACTTTTGACAGACGTCCATACTTTTACCACAGACAAACAGACATAACTCTTGTAAGTTGTTCGTCGAACAAGCATTTAACGGACAATTTAAAAGTATCGAAGTTGGTAGTACCGCCACCTGTGCCGCGCATAGTCAATTCCCTTGCGTTTGACGTTTTCACACTACCGCCATCTGTTCAGTGTAGTACCCACCAGAGTGTACTCAACAGATGACGGTAATGTTTTAGCAACGATGTTTTACAGTGAGAAATATTCAATGAGTTATGTCTGTTTGTCTGTGCTTTTACTGTAGGGCTTTAATGAATACGGATTTGGAAAAGCAATGTGTTTTATTTGCTGACTGCCACAAATACATAAGTCAATACTACTTGTTGTGTTGTCAGCATCGCACGCTTAGAAATAACTAATTTTACACAGGACGGAATCCATCTCTGACATAAAGGATGAGACGAAATCAAACGTTTCATGTAAAATTAAGTGCTTCGAGACTGAAAAGTTCGTTACTTGACGAAAAAAATGTTTGATTGAGCTGAATTTTGCGTCTGCTATGACATAATTTTATGTCAATCTCAGAGCACCTACATTTGCATACATACACACTTAAAAATAACTAATTTCACATGAGACGTAATCCATCTTTGACGTAAATTATGGAACGTAAACAAACATGTCATGTAAAATTAAGTGTTCCCAAACCGAAACATACGCAACTCGACGAAAAGTACGATTGATTGAATTTATTTTCTCGTTTCTTTCAACTGATTCTTATGTCATTTGGGCCGCTTGCATGTGTCGGTCACAGGGCACGAAAATTTACATGACTTTTTGGTAGTGTGTAGTTCTTAGTGTGTGCGTTCACTTTATTCAGTACGTCTGTTGTATATTTGCGAACAATCCCAAGTTACAAATAATCCCACTAATTCTCTTTTTGGCATTCTAATGCTAATATATGAATAATATAAAGCATGGAGGGATTATATTAGCCATAAAGCAGCTTTTTATTGCAATGTCTAGAATATCTGCACATTTAGAAATACCTAATCTTACACGTGACGGAATCCATCTTTGACATAAACGCTGAGACGGAAAAAAAAACATAGCATGTAATATTAAGTGCTCCGAGACTGAAAAGTTCATAAGTACGTTTGATTGAGCTGAATCTCGTTCTTTTATGACTAAATTTCATGTCAAAATTGACATTCGTATATGTCAGTCTGAAAGCACCTAAATTTACATATTTTTTTCTAAGTGTGTGTGTTGGCGCCAAATACGACGAGCTGGCCACCCTGATCACGGACGTTCCTGAAGGGTGTAGCGCAACGGTCAAAGCTGTCAGTGTCAGCGAGTAAGCGTCTGACAACACGATCGAAGGAGCCGACTTCCGGAAAAAGGAGAATAAAGGTAGTGCAAGCAAGCAGTGAACACGCAAGATTTTGCTACAGATAACATTTGTTTTTCCTATTACTAAAATAATTAAACTAGATGAAACTATATTGACCTAAAGTAGGGATAAAGGTAACTTGATTATAACTAAAATTTCTTTATCTAGACTAAAATGAATTGCCTTAAAAATATTGATTTCTAGTTTAGTGAAACCTAACCTAACTTAACCTAAATTTGGATAAAAGGCCCTAGATCACGAAAGGCCACTGATTAGGTAGTACTCTTGAGGAATTATATTAACTTGAACTAATTGTAACCCTCCCTAGGTTTGCAGCTGTAACGATAATAAAACCGCTTTCAAAATCAGTGCGGGCTTTTTAATCCGACCGACGCAACAGTGTGCTTTTATTATGGGGAAATTGTCCAAAATGTACCCCTGGATAAAACGCCTGATCAGATGATCTTGGGCATGTCCAGTATTCAATTTCTAATCGGAATCAAATCCAATGTTTTCTATACATTGGGGTTTGTGATCACACACTAAATGTACTGTTAATTATCATTTTACATTGATCTAAAACGACGAAAAAGGTTGAATATTGGATTATCATTCTATAACACAGTCAAGATGTCATCAGTAGACATTAAAGTAATCACATGCAATCATCCATTTATACAATTCCTACCACCCTAGCGGCTTCTTCTGGAGATTCGATTCAAATTTCCATTAAACCTGAGGAACCTATCATTTTATGCTTCCTAAAGCCAACATCTAGGTATTATCTGTGCTCGGATGTTCACAATCTGCTCAGTCAACCATCGTACTGGCTTCCTTTTCAGATGCTAGTAATTCCCACCTTCCCACAAATTTGCCTTTTCCATGCACAGTCGTTTTATCAACGCATTCCATTGGAGTGTGAAACGTACTGGAAAATTTTGTTAGATCAACAGTTGTTGATTGCCCATCCCTGCTTTCAATATGGGTCTTTGTTGGGATCCCATGCATGCCTGTTGACTGGAAAAGTAATTGGCATGTAGGAGTTTGGCATTCCGGCAACATAATGTATTGGCTTTTCCTTTCTCCTATTGTTGTATGACTAGATTGCTATCGATTTTAGAGTTTTCTGTCTGAAGTTCTTTTTCGTAAATTAAAAATAAAATAAAACAAACCAACTCCCACCCATCCAACCCTTAATAGATGTCTTTTTGATCCTTTCAAATATTTGTCCCGGAATGATTTTGTGAAGAAAATAGCTCGATGCTTGTTTTCACTAGATCAAATGCTGAGTAGAATTTTAGACTTTTACAGTCGTGCAGACGAGAAAAAGGTGAATTGGTGAAACAAATATGTTGAGAAAAAGCTTCCCATGCTCGTTTGTCAATTGCACTATGAACGTAAAGGAGAACATGATATCAGCTCATACACAACAAATATGCAACCATTTAGATTGTTTAATTGCCCTCAAATTGAATGTAATCAAAAGGAAAATGGAAATTTTGTTCCAGCACGTCCATTCAAAAGAAAAAAGATCCACATCAACAATAAGGTGCCTTTCAGCC